ACTTAACAAACCAAATTTAGGCAGACTTTTCTAAGCAACCATACTAAAGAGTCAGCCAAGAAAGGAGAGAGCAGTAAATGTAATTGCATAGCAGGGGAGAGGGGAGAGGCCCAATGCTCAATTTGAATGTCTACAATTGCTGTACAGAAGTCAAATACACTGCAGTTAAGATTTCTAATGGTCCAGGAAGAACAGAATGACAGAATATTATCTCAAAGTTTACAAGCCCCAAAATGTCACAATTAAGACAGACAATTGTACAAAAATTACAGTTTGACTTTATTTCTTTGAAACATCTGTGTTTAAGTATTTCTGAGAAGACAGAAACAGGTTTCTCACCACACCTCCCACTTTAAGATTAACGAGCTAACAGTAAAGTTGTTTCCTTTACATTCTCTAAGGTTCACAGTTCATAGCAGCAAAGTCTGTTTCTTCTCCAAGCAACATCTCACAACCCCTCACCAAAAAATGAGGGGGCAGAATTGAGAACTGAAATTGAGCACATACTAAATCATATTGTTTTTGTTTTTTTTTTTAATCAGACAACTACTGTAAATGTACACTGTATAGAACAGCTCTTCAGTAAGGAAAACATAGGAAAAAGAACAGAATGTGGGACAAGGACCAAAAGAATTAAAATCTAAGTGTCAAAATGCACACATGATGAAAAATGTATGCACCTCCAAATTCTGTGTTCAGTCTTTCTTTCTCAGGTTGACTTAAAAGATGGGGGGATGGCAAGGAACGCATAGAAATCGTACCCTATTACCTTTCATTGTTGTACTCCTATGTTATCAGTCTTCTATCACCTGCTCAATATAACCTTGAAGAGATTTCTGTTTCTGCTTGACCTCTCAGCAATATGGTAAAAAAATCCCTATTACCCAAAAATGGTGCTAGACACTCCAGCTCCTTCAAACATGGTGAATGTTGCATTCAGAATATCCCAGTCATAGACAGCTATCTCTCTAAAATGTGGAGTAACAGATTGTTTACTATCTTAGCAAGAGGTCATAAAACATAAAAAAAGGTTGCTCAGCCTACTGGTCTTTCATATTAGTTACAGATCAGTTACAGTGATCTGCCAGCTTTCTGAAGCCGTACTCCATAATTGCTGACAAGTTCGAGTTTTTCTGCCCTCTGAACAGCCACACACTGTACTCAAAGAGAACAGTTTTCTTGGTTCATTGTCATCATCAGCACAATCAAACACTCCTGAAAAACATGTTTTTCAAGAAGTAAGACATGCTGATGCAATTACAGTATCAGAACAAAACGAAACTCTACAACTTCATGGTCAGTGGCCAAGGAGTGGAAGAAGAAACAATTTAAACAGGTGTAGCAAGTTGCCTACAATTTTGGCATCTACAAGAAACCAGAAGAGTACTTTAAGATGCAAATGCACAAGGATCAAGAACAGCATAATCTAAAAAGAATGTAACTGGACAGCAGGAAAAAACAGCCTCCCCAGTAAACTCCCCCAGTAATTTCTCTTTGAATAGGGTGCCTAACAAGCATCTGCAAACAGCCTTCTTGAGCAATCTGTTTCAGTAGATGGTCACATGGTCTCTATACTTCATAATAATCATAGTTAAATCCTTACAGTTGGGCACAGGCCACAACACAGAAGAGATGCACCGTACTGAGGAGATTTTTCAGCCAAAAAGTAGGAAAGGTCAAAGAATTCATACCACATAAATTATCAAAGTTCTTGTAAAATGAAGGATGTTGAAATAGAAGCCTTGCAGTGTTTAGAAACTTCTCGCTTATCACAAAAGTTTTAACAGAAACTTTACTTGGCCTTGAGGGCTGGAAAAGAAAGAAAGCTGGCAAGATGCAGCTTGGTGGAGAGCACATACTAAAATAAAAGATATTTATCATAATGAAAGAAAGCTTGTGACATTTCCACATCAACTTACTACTTACAATCACTTAGCAGCAACCACTTTGAGGAATCCTCCTGTTTACATACCACTGCTAAGCAATCTTTTCACTATGGTATCTTAGTTCTGTGATAGAAAAGAAAACTTCTCAAGTTACATAGCAAAAGCCTCTAGCCATTACAGTGTTTTCAGACACATTAAAGTGTAACTGGCACAGGCCTGTTTGACAGCTCTCCACATTTTATGAAATGCCTCACCTATGTATCTAAGTTGAGAGCACTCCTGACACTACACTCACACAACCCAAATGGAAAACCAAAATCCCATGTGTTCATATGTGAACCAGTCTTAACTTCTAAACAGAAAATGAAGTTGTCAATCTCTGTTAGATTTGCTGAAACAACTTCAGTATTATTGCAGGTTTACCTCACAGCCACATTTTTCTAAAATGCCTTGGCTGAACTGCGTCTTGGATAACAATACCATAGTGCATAGGACAGTCTCAGAGGAGGTTTGTGGGAGATTTTTGGTAGAGCAATAGTTCTGTAATTACAGTAGGTTGCAAACACTGCTAAAGTGCAAATATCAATTTTGGGAGGCCAGTACTTGGCCTCCAATCCTTCATTCAGTTTTGCTTGAGTTGCCACTACGGTGGCTATCTCAAAATAACATCATGGTCACCTGCTAAAGTGGTAGGATGTCAAAGCTCACCCAGATGTTTAAAATCCATAAAAAAAATTATTTAGGAAGCCATTTGATGACACTGTCAGAGAGGTGAAAAATAAACAAGAATTACACCCCAAGCTAAACCCTAACAACAAAAATGGGTATTAGCAAAATTTTAAAAAATAAACTAAAACATATTCAAAGGTAAGTCACTTGCCCCAACTTAAACACAGCAGAAGAAAAATCACAGGCATGCAAGGTAAAAAGCCTAGGTGATACTCTACTTAATTAAAAGTATGAGTTGGCAGAGGGAGGAGCACTTTCTTCTCACCCTATATCCATCTGAGCAAACATTCAGTATAGGCCAAACAGGTTCCCAGACTTGCAGAAAGCCTTATCTATTCAAAACACAGACTAACCAGTTTAAGTACTTCTGTATGAATGTTAAGCAAGCAATCTGGGAGGTTAAACCAGTTCTAAAGAGTAGCCAGCCTCTCTGGCATAATGGGAAATGACTGGCCCTCCCAGATGTGCATAAACTATTATTAAGACTGCTCTACCCTCCTATCTAAATAAACGGTTTCCCAAGAATCACTATGGGACTTGAGAGAAAGCCAAGCAAAAAAAGCATCTTCTTTATAGACAGTCAGTTTCACTGAGAAAAAAAAAACAACTTCACTGCCTCTTCTGCAAGTTTCATGTATGCTGGAATAAAGTAAAATCACCTTTCTTCATTTTTTTTTAACTGAGTCTGTTTCAAAGCCACATTCCTACATAAATGATGAAATTGTAAAAATAACCCATAATTTCATACATTTGTCTCAGAATCAAGCTGACCCATTTGGAAGTTGTTTAAGATGATTTACTATTTCTGCTAAGCAAAAGAGATGCAGCTAGTCTTCTCATTAGCTCAGTATTTGAGAGGTGTAAAGGGACCTGTGTGGACCACAACTACATACAGGACGAGGCTCCACTAGGTAGGTACAGCTTCAGGACTGCAGATTACAAAAATTACAAATTACTGAGCCTCTCACTCGGCTTTTCTTTGCCCATATTAACATACATCAACTTCCTCACCGGGCCTTCTCATTCCCCACACGTGAAAGAGGAAGTATAGAAAGCCAAAAGCAAGACAAGTGGCCAACACTTGTCCATCACCAAGATAGAAAAGTTGGCAGGAATGAAGGAAAGAGAAACGGGGTAACTTATTCCAGACCTACATGAAGCACTTCCCCAAAAACCTCTTCCCAAAAATTGTTGCCTTCTATACTTTCCAGGCCACTTGCTCACCTCTAACAATAAATTAATTTCCCTGCTCATCCTTTTGACTTTCATTGAGAAATCTAAGCTGCTATTCCCCAGGAACTTACTCATCACCATCAGAATTTCAGTCAGCTCATTTTTCATAAAAAAAAGTCTGAAAATTTCTGTTTCTATTTAACAATCAACTGTATTGCAGTTTCATATTCTAGGTATTTACTTGGCAATTTTGAGTAGAGAGGGAGGAAAAAACCCAAACCAGCCCCAAACCAAAATCCCGTGGTTTGAAACAAATGATCAATAATTCAGCTACTACACATATACAGATTCCATGCCTGTGTTATAGTCCTTGCCCAGACTACAAGTAATTGCAAACCCAGGTTTAATGCCCACTATATTTTGGCTGTTCTTTGTATGACACCATAACCTAAAGTCATTTGTGGAAAAAACTGCAAACATTGAAGTGGTATAAAGTAATTTTTATCATAACAGCATAGAATGGTTGGGACAATAACCATTATTATCTGGAAAGCCATTATTATTACTGGAAAAGAACTTTGAAAATCATCTGGTTCCATCCCCCTGCCATGAGCAGGGACACCTTCAGCTAGATCAGGTTGCTCAGAGCCCCATCCAACATGGTCATTACTTCCAGGGATAAATATATCACCACTTCGGTTCATACTGTAAAATCCTCGACCTCATCGGTGAATTCTGTCTCTCGAGACTCAAGCACTGCTTAAAAACAGAGAAAAACAAAAAGGCGGAAATGCAAGCTTCTGGTAAGGAAGGCGGCCTTGCTGGTCAAAGTGACGGGCAGGTGCCAAGAGCGGGGTACTGACATACCCACGGCACAGCAAGGACAAGGACCAGAGCCACGGCCTGCAGCTAGCCCGCCCATTCCGGGCGCACCTGGGGGCGCACCCGCGCCAGCCCCCCGGCTCTTTGTTTCCGCGCTGCAGGGACAGCGCTGAGGCGGAGCACGGCCCTGCCCGGGCACCTCCGGAGCGCCAAGATAAGACATAAACAAAGCAAGGCCGGGCCGCCGGGGCTCCGCCGACCCCGGCCCGGGCGCGGTACGGGCCGCGGGGCCTCTATCGCCGGAGCGGAGCCGAGGCGGGGCGGGAGGCGCCCGGCGCCGCAGCCCTAAAATGCGGCCCAGCGCGGTGCGGGCGGGCAGCGCGCACTCACCCAGGTGAGCAGGCTCTCGCCGAGCTCGGCGCGCTCCAGGCTCTCCACGTTGAACATGGCGGGGCGGCGGGGCTGCGGGGCCGCGGCCGGGTCGGTACCACCGGTCGCGCCCCGCCCCGTCCCGGGCCGGACGGTGGCGCCGACACGTCACCGCGCCCTAACGGACCGGCCGCCCGCGCCTGCGCCCGGCGGCCGCGGGGCGGGGCGCGGAGGGTACGCGGCGCGACCCGGCGCCGTCGGGGGGACGGGGCGGGGCCGCAAGGCCGGCGGCGAGCGGCGGCTGAGGTACCGCGGGGGGACGGGCGGGGCCGGACTGGGCTGTCCACCCCTCACAGCTGGCCGAGGGGGCGCTGGGGAGGGTGAGGGAGATGCGAACCACCCCCCCCCTTGCATGCCCGCCGAGGCACCTCGTACGCCGCCGGGCCCTCGGGTAGGAGGGGTCTGCAGCCCTTCTCCCGGCTCCATGTGTGTGTGCGTATCTTGGGGCGGAGGAGCTGGTTAGGAGTGTGTCCGGCAGGGCTGGGAGCGTGGGTTTGTGAGGATAGTGTACCACAGGCGTTATCAATGTTGGTGTGTAATGTGTCTCGGCTTCTGGATGGAGTGGCCCCTACAAGGTTTTTTTCTCTTTTTGGAGTAGAAAGTGACCTTTCACCCACAGAAGTTCTTCTGTTTGTGAAAGGAGCAGCAGCTACAAGGTTTTGCTCCTTCTGGAGTAGGAAATGACACTGCACCCACAGACATATCGTAGTATGACAGACTGTCGTAGTATCTATGGTGGTTTGGCTTGTGTATGGAGCAGTTTGACGACGTTCTCCTCTGTTTTTTGAGAACACAGTGTCGTTAGCTTACTTTCAACAAAGCTCTGCTGTGGTAAATTTAATGAAAAGGGAACCTACCAGTAGCTGAAGGGAGACCCCCTTCTTCAGGACTTCAGGAAAGTCAGAGAGACACTCGTCATTAGGAACTCTAGTGACAAGGAGTAATGGGTTCAAACTTAAAGAAAATAAATTTAGGCTAGATCCAGGAAGGATCCAGAAAGGAATTTTCTACTGTCAGGGGCGTTGAAATGCTGGAACAAGTTGTCCAAGGAGGTTGTGGATGCCCCAACCCAAGATGAACCCACTGTTCAAAACCAGTTTGGATAAGACTTGAGCAACCTGGTCTAGTGAAAGGTGTTCCTGTCCGTGGCGTGGGGATGTTGGGACTGATCTTTAAGGTTCTTTCCAGTCTCTTAACATTCTATGATTCTGTAAGTTACTTGGTTAGCGCTAGCTGCAAGTGGTGACTAGGAAGACGGGTGATTAGATATTGGAATGGGCTGCCTAGGGAAGTGGTGAAGTCACCATCCCAATGGGTGTTCAAGGAAAGACTGGACATGACATTTGGTGTCATGGTGTGATTGACAGGGTGGTGTTCCAATCTTAGATTGGACTTGACGATCTCAGTGGTCTTTTCCTGCCTAATTGTTTTGTGTGATTCCTCAGGTGATTCAATTAATTTTTTATCTCAAAGACAAGGCATCTGTCTGTGGCCAGAATGCCCCTGCATCCTTGCTGTGCCCCAGCCAGAGGAACTATCAATCATGCTGCAAATGGGTCACCTGAGGAATTCAAGTAACTCTTTCTTAGTAGTGTGTTGGATTTTGGACTGTTTGAAGTTTGCAATGAGAATGTGTGGCATTATGATAGGTTCTGCAGTTCCCTATCAGTTAACAGCGGACCTGGTGCAGCAGCATGGAGTAGGCAGGCACAGGGCACTGATAAGAGTGGAGGGCTGTATAAACAGGCGGGGTCACAGATGCGGAAACTGTCGCTATTTTCCCTGTTTTCTCTGAGTTTTTCCATTTAATAAATTAGGTGTAAATTAGGTAATAAATCTGAGTGCTCCCTTTATGTCATCTTCTTTTGAATTGAAGAGTATTGTAGAAGCTATGAAAGTTTCCAAGTTTTCCCAAGAAAGTACTTTCTCGCTGATCTCATTGTATAATCTTCAGCATAAGTTATAAATCAAATCTGTCTTCATTTAAAGCTAACTTTTAGTTTCAGAATGAATTTAAAGTCTTAGAAAACTGCACAAGTACCAACTTTCCATTCCAAGTTTTAGTGTGTGCTTTAAGCAACATGCTTGGTACTTTTGACAAACTATGCTTTCACAGCTACATTGCATTGCTTAGGTATTGTTTAAGTATTGATTGTTGTTAATTTACTTCTGTCATATCTTCCTCTATCTCATTTCCCACTCTTCTTTGCCTGTTGCCATGAGGTGTACACATGAGGTGTAGCCTGTATTTTGTTGATGCAAATAAACACAGTAATGCTTTTTGCCTTGCTATCTATTTTAGATATGAGGTTGTGTATGGAAGTAGCACTTTCTACAGTAAGCAATTCTTGGGCACTTTACCTAAGAGAGATCTGAAGCCTCCTCATGTTTAGCTAAAGTATTACCATATTTCAGTAAACATTATTATAATGAAGTGACAGTATTTTCTTTTTCTTCCTGTCTGACCAGGAATGTCAGGTATCCAGGCTGAAGGCATTAGCAGGCTCTTTCTCATGCTCCTATCTGCATATGAATTCAGTTGCACCCTTTGGTTTGTTTAGAGCTCTATACCTTTCAGTATGTTTTGGCCTTATGAAGAAGACTTCGTTGGGAATTGTTTTACACAACTCATACATCGCCCAGGCAGATCTTCAGAACAGTAATGGTAAACAGGCCATTGAATTTGTCTTTCTGCTTCAAGCCATCCACATGCTTTTGGGCTCAGGAGAAAAATTATTTGAGACATTTTATTTTCCCAGTAGAATGGTATATTAATTTTGGATTATTTTCCCTCACAGCCTCCTGCTGTTTGCAGCTGCATTGCTTTTAACTTGCAAAACATGATTTTTTCAGCAAAAGTAGAATATCTACTTTCTTTTTTCTTCTTTTTTTTTTTCTCTTTAGGAAAAAATGTGCCTCAGAGATTGCTGACCTCAGACCTTGCAGCAACCTGCTTTATCAGGCAAGTGCCACAGTTGGTCAGTTCATAAGATATGCTCAACAAAATCATTATTTACCTGCTGAAATTGCCCTCTTCTCTCTCTTGGCGAGACTGTTCAGGCCTTTTCCATTCTCTTTTGCAAAGAGTATGCATACACTTAAATGCAGTCAGCACAGTCCTGAAAGCAAAGGTGGTTCATGGTAAGCATATAACTGAATATTATACAGATGAGTTTGGCTGTATTTCTTGTACCAGCTGAACTGATTTGTAAACCCAAAGTTGACGCAAATTCATAATAATGATGCATTAACAGGCTGCATGAAATTCTAGTAGGATAATCCCAAATCAGTTTTAACAGCCTTGTTACAGAAGATACCGATTTATATGTTGCTATATTAGATTTTTTTTTTTTTAGTTTCCATTAGTAAATGTGCCCTTTGGATTTTCTGCTACTGATTTTAATAATATAGGAAGATAATTAATACTAGAGATTGTTGTGTGTGGTGCTTTATTCAAATAAGACTGTGCTCACAAAAATGAAAAGCTAATAAATCCTGTTTCCTCAGAAACACTTTTTCTAAGTACTCCATCAATCATTTCCATTATTTCTGCTTCATTATGTTATATTTGACTAAATCCCTTCTTCAAAGTCCAACTTTAGTACACTAAGGAACCTGGATAAAATGTTTCACCTCAGAATTTAGCTGATTTAGAGTTTAGGCTAGTAAACTTCCATTGTTCATCATGTATAATTCATGCCTGCTGTTGTTAATTGCTTCTGAATGCAGTCTGGGCATATCTTTGGACTGTTAAAGAAAGAGAGCATAAATAACTATAGGATCCACTTTGCTGATTCAAATCTATTCACAAAGTCCCATTATCAACCACAGAGAGGGGCCATGACCTGCTACTACCCTTAAGCAGGAAGTAATTAGATAGCTTCTAATGAGACAGGTCTCAATTTTTGCCCTGCATATAAGAATTTGTTTTTATTTTAGGAAATTTTGCCTGTTTTTCTCTTAAATGAAATATGCTAAATTTAGGCCTATAAATATTTCAGTATAAGCTAATATATCTTCAGGGGGTGGATTCCTGAATAAATATGCTCTGTTTTAATACGCTTAAATTCTTAGAAGTTGCTTTATGTTACCTAAAATAGGCCAGTCTTATTAGAAAGCTTTTGATGCAAATGAAACCAATATTTTGTTTGTTCACATTATGTGGGAGAAAATTCTGAGGGGTTAAAGCCTTCTTGTTCTTAAGAAAGTGTGACCTGTGGTACTTGACAAGTTGGAGATGAATTCGCTTATCCTGGAAAACACAGAACCTCTACAAATTAAGCAGCTTTTTCAAAGGGCAGGGCAATATTTTTGCAAATAAAAAGTGAAAGGAGTCGCAGGTTCTGGCTTGCACACTGGCCCACCATCACTATCTTAACTTTATAAATTTTTTCAAGAACTGATGGTGGCTGCCAGTGCTGCATCAAGATGAAAGCACTCAAAACTGAAATAAATGAAAATGCAAAACTCCATTTTTCTCATCCAATTCACTCCCAGCCCATCCCATAAAGGACACTTCGTTATCCAAATTACCTTTCAGATGTTGAACACATTGTATCCTGCTCACAAAGTTAATACAGTAAGGTTAATAACTTGTATCTCACATCATTATTGCTTGTATGTTACCTCATTGTTTACTTCTCAGACATCAAGAGAATCTCTTATTTCTTTTTCACCGTGCTTGCACATGCCTTTAGTAACGGGTAAAAGGACTCTATTGAGAGTATATTATCATATGGCACTTCCCTGATAAGCTCAGAAAACTTCAAATAGTTCAGAAAACTATGGGGAGAATTCTGACTTTGGACAGCTGACAGCTGTTTAACACATCATGGTAAAGAATGGATTGTTTTCCATGTCTGTATGAGTCATGGCATAGGGCATTGTAGCTGTCAACATTGAAAGTCCTAATACTTTTCAGATCTGAAAAATTAAGAAATAGTATATCCACACTGGTGTATATCTTCATTTTCTCACACTTCAGTGTGATCTGTATGAATTTCCAAGAATAGAAGCCATGGCACTTGCAGTATTGCTCACTGTAGTTCTACTTT